GCACAGCAAGCCATTTCCTACTGGGAGCTTCTCTGAAGTTAGGATCTGAGGAAAGTGGTGCAAACCCCGCAGACATCCCAGTCATTTGCTGAAACTAATCCAGTTAGCAAACTTTGCTAAGTCTGTAACGCGGGGAAACCCAAAGCATAAACCGGACCTACTTACGCAATTTTTTGGGTGTTACGAAGCTTTGAAACACGTGACTTCTTTATTAGGTTTGGGTCTACCACAGTAGTTGGATATACAGACATCTCGGTGTCTAGGTCGTTCATTACCATGATTACTTCACCCAGTGTCATATCTACGGGATGACTATTTTTTTCCCACCACTGTTTTTTTTTTGGTCTGCACGCCGAAGTAGAACTGGGTGAATCATATAACCGGGTGGATCAATCAAGTTCTCAACTTTTTTTCCAGGCGGCCAGGTGAGACGAAGCCAGAGGTTGAGAAAGCTGTTAGATTTACCACATTACTGTAGTTGGTAAGATGATGGAGAATACACAATGGAATCATGTTCGGGTAACTGGTAAACCTCACTAATATTGCTCTTTGAATTAGGCTATTTGGGTTTGCCCAAAAATCGGGTGACCCATTCCATCCACCGGTTCAACACATCATTTTCCGTATCAAAATGATCATAATTCGTGGGCAATGCCCTATAGCGTTGGTCATATCCCCATCATGGTTTGTTTTTACCCCCATCCTTGTTGCTTGAATGCACCATTCATTTCCGAACGTGAAACCCTAAGTTTTTTTTATAAGTGCCATGGTAAAAAAGGTTGGATTGCATACCCGCTCCTTAGGGGTTCTATCAATGCAATGGGACGGATGACCATACCACATGGTAGCCCATGTAACTGGACCATCGTTTTCCATAGCGTCTTGTTGTTTTTACTGGGGTAAGTCACCCTCATTCACAGATGTTGTTTATGGATTTCCCAGTCACTCCAATTATACGTTGGTTCATCCCATAATAATCCAACATATACATATAATTGGATTGCTTGGGAAAAAGCTTCTGAATATAGTTGCTTCAAAAAAAATAGTCCATATACTGTATATAATTGGTTTTCATATATCCCAACATGTATATATATAAGATGTATATATATATAAGATGTATATATATATAATATGTGTATATATAATATGTATATATATATATTATTGTATATATAGTATAACTATAACTGATGGATATTATCCCTTTTAAAGAACCGTCCATTCTGAAAATATGCCGAAAAACCGAACGCGAGAGGCGAGAAAAGCTGCCTGAGTCAGCCACGAGGCTTACACCTAGACCAGGCGGCACCGCTTGACACCGCGGCTGGGAGTGGTGGATGCTGGGCAGGGGCAGACTTCAAGCAATTTTGGGACTTTCTAAATCTGGAAATTTCACGAAAACTGCTGACTTTCTCTTAGTTTTGGCTGCGTTATTTTTTAGTTGACATCACATAATTGAAGAGTTGGCCGTTTTGGACGATGAAGCAACAGTGACAAAGATTGCCCAGTCATATGCCCAGTCATACGAAGACACCAGGGCAAAAACTGTGGATAACAACAAATCAGTTCTCGGAAAATCAGCCTCCTTTTGCTCAAGTTCTTCAGTCTCACAACTTGCAAAACACAGAGTCCATCACAGGGTCCACCAGGAAGTTTTTGTGTCTAGTCTTGACCATTGCTTGGTTCTCCCATTTGGTACAGGCTTCATCCCCTTAGAAGTCCCGTATCCAGTTACTGATCCACCGACTCAAAAATCTCATCATCCACCTGGGGTCCGCACGATGCTGGAGACAGCTTTTGCGTTGGAAAAATTGATCCCTGCAGACCAGACGTTTGCCAGTGATGGATCCCGGATTTCCTTGACATGTTCAATTCCCTGCGTAGGGCCAGTGTGTTTTTTTTTTCCCCAAAACAACAAGTTCCGGCCCCAACAAACCGAGAACTCGAAAACCTTGAAACCCTAAGCCCTAAAACCTGAAACCCGAAAATTGTAAATCCCGGAAACATGAAGTCAAAAATCACTGCCTTTAGCCAGTGTTTTCGTTCATCGTCTGATAACAAAACAACAACAGCAACAACAACAAGAACAACAACAACAGCAGCAACAGCAACAGCAACAGCAACAGCAAGAACAAGAACAAGAACAAGAACAAGAGCAAGAACAAGAACACGAACAAGAACAAGAACGCGAACACGAACAAGAACAGGAACACGAACAAGAACAAGAACAAGAACAAGAAGAAGAAGAAGAAGAATAAGAAGAAGAAGAAGAAAAAGAAGAACAAGAACAAGAACAAGAACATGAACATGAACACGAACACGAACACGAACATGAACATGAACATGAACATACACACATACACACACATACATTCATTCATTCATTCATTCATACATACATACATACATACATACATATATATATACATCTATTTACATATTATATATATATGCAGTGTTTTGGTGTAAGATTTGGGCATGTGCTTGGCGCGCTTTTTGTTTGGCGCTGACCCTGAACCTCCGGTGACAGCCCGGTTGGTCAGCCCGCTGGTTGCTGGTTGCCAGGATGGCAACCTCTACGTCGCCGACTTCGGGAACTTCTGTGTGGTCCGCTTCGCGACCACCGAAGGGAACGACGGGAACGGTCCCGGCGGCCGTGTGGTGGTGGGGCAGCGAGGGAAACAGCTGCTGGATGTGGATTACCTCAAGGAGCTGCATGGATTCTGCGTGCAGTGCTTAGGTTCTATGTTTAACTTGTGCAAACATGATGACAACAAAAAGGCTAGGGATACTGATAAAAGAATTCAAAAGGCTAGGCTGAGGACGCAGCCCATCTGCAAACATGATGAGAATTCGCGTGTGACCTGATGGTCATGCCATTCTATTCAGCTTTTGTTGAGCATCTTCAGACGGTATTGTAGATATAATTATATATATAAATAACCCCCCACGATTATTGTTGGTGCAATCGGGCGCACCGTCACTTTCAGTGTGTTTCCATGCCTGGCTGAGAATAATATTCTATCTGTATCTGACTTCACAGACCATCCATTCTCTTGGCTGGTTTACATGTGGAAAAATCTACAGAAAATCATGATTTAAACGAGTCAAATCGTTTTTTTCCCCTCCAACTTCATCTTCAACCTAACTCTTTTAAGTCTTTTTCAATCATCTGAAGTCAACATTTTTCCCAAGTAAATCCCCCATGAAATCTGCATCAGAACGCGAGGACATCGGCAAACCCTTGGCTCCGGCTGACGGTGAAGGGGTGCTCCTGAAGAACCCCATCGATGTGGCGCTCAACGCGTGGCTGGGATGGGATTTTTCCAGCTGTGAAAATGGTGATGAATGACTAGTGCTATTATATACTATCTGGTTGGTGGTTTGGAACCATGGAATTCTATGACTTTCCATTCAGTTGGGAATGTCATCATCCCAACTGACGAAGTCATATTTTTCAGAGGGGTTGAAACCACCAACCTGACTATTATTGACTATAAATGACTATAAAATATTATAAACATATGGGTAATGAATCCCATTGTGTAGTATGAATGACTATTATTGAGAATTGGCTCATTACCCATTATAAACCCATAATCATCCATAGTAACTTATATGATTTATATGATTTATATGTGAAATAGTTTTGGAGGATTGAAATCACTATGTCCCATTCACATAGATAGTGTCTATATGTAATATAGCAACGACTCCATAATCATCCATAAGTCACCGGTAATCGTGGGAATCAAAAGTGGTGATGCATCAAAACTATGGATGATGATGGGATTCTTAAGGGTTCTTATGGATGATGATTATGAATAGTTATTGTGTTTTCTATTTTGCATTATGGCACATTATGGATGATGATGAGAATTCTGGATGCTTATGGATTGCATACTGGTAGTATCTGGGGATATTGGACGGGATGATAGCTGGGTATAACTTAAAGCCACCTGACATCGCGAAGTTTGGAATGGTCAGCAAGGGAAGCGATTCCCAAATGGTCGGCTTTTCAGCTTTGCGAATGATTTCTATGTACCCTCTGGTAATTTGTTGCAGTTTGCGAACTTGAACATGGCCCATTTATGGATGATTTACCTTTTGAAAATGGTGATTGGTATCCAGACATTAATGTGGCATGGTGAAGTTATTTGGATGAGAAACACCTTGGGGGAATGGTCATCAGCCCATCAAATCATAGGAATTTATTTATCCACTGTACCGACAGTCGGATTCCCATTATGGGATTGATGACCATTTCACATAATGATTCGACCATGGCACATTAGTAAGGTCACCTTTGATTTTTAAACAGCAATAAAGGGGATTTACGATGATTTTTACCCCAAAATCGGGGGAACCAGAGTGGATGGTTAGTACTTAGTCTAGTAGAGCTTCATCTTTTGCAACCGGGATAAATGCGAACCTGCCCCAGCAAAGACAATACATGGTCTTTAAGATTGGCCACGAACATGCATTGAAAGTGGCAAACAGTTCATGGGATTGAATATCATTGTGATCGGCCAAACAGTTTTTACGAAAGTCCAGTGGAAGATTTTGGAGCAACCCATCAACGGGAGGATTCCCTAACCACCCATTGATACTCAAAATCACCTATTACTGGGACGTGGACCGCAATTGGAGAAATGGATAGAAGTGGTTTCAGCTCTTCTTCAAGAACATTGCTGGGTTTATGGATGTACCCTCTGGTAAACTAACATAACTATGGAAAATCACCATTTATAGATTTTTATAGTGGATTTTCCCATGAAAAATGGTGATTTTCCATAGCTATGTTAAACTACCAGAGGGTAAACACCATTCTCTGAGCTTCACGTCAAAGTTTCTTGATCGTTAAGGGACGGCTCTCTTCTGGTGCTGGACTGCCCCATGGGCCGAGTGCAGTGTTTCGAGCAAGGCGGCTTTGGTGAAGGGGTTGAAACAGCAACACATGGCTTGAAATCAGGTTTTCAGATGGGGATTATCCATGG